AACCTATCGTTCCTGTAAGTTCTTGTAATTGTCCTATTCATAGCTAAATCCCCCCTCTTATAATATTGTAAAGCACTACGGAATCTGTTGACGCTATATAAATGGCAATAATAATAATAACTAGAAAAGCTACAATTTCTGGGGAAATTGTGTGAAGTGTTCTTGCCTCCACCAGTAGTCTACAACTGGAGTGGGCGGAGTAACTGTAAACCATACATTTATAAAAACATTACCAGGTGTTCAAAAGGCCCTGTCTATGACATCACTTGCTGCTGCAGCCTGGCACAGGTCAGAGTATTTTGGCGGTTGCCATCTTCAAACGGTCGTATTTTAAAAACCTACATAAATCCTGTATAAATAACCTGTATAAATCCTACAGCGAAGAGCTTTATATTGTGAGAATCACAAGACCCAGACCTACATTTTGATGCATAGTATGTCTCTGAAGTATTAAAAATGAAGGCACAGTCGCAGTTTAGAAATTGCACTTCAAATTTGAGCTTTGTAGAGTGAAGTTTCAATGAATGTCAATGGACGGCGTTAGTTGCAAACAAATGATTATATTGTGAAAACTATCAGGACTATGGCTTAGCCGTTGACATGTTTAGTGGCAGCAGGGATAGCTGAACGTTTTGATATAAGATTTGTGTAGGTGGGCCTGAAAATAAGGGAGTGGTGGCAGTTTAGAAATCATGTCCTGATTTTTCAGCTTTTGCCAGCTCCCACTCTAGCTTTGCCATTCATTCCTATGGGACAAATTGCGCCACAAGAACGACGATATTCCGTGAACCATTCGGCGAAACGTTCCACAAAGTAATAGCAATCCGATCGGGAACAATCTGCACGTTTGGTATATTACTGTCTATGTAGTGTAAAAACTGTGGGAGGAGTTAGGGTGGTAAATTTGGCTATAATAAGAATAACAAGAAAAGCTACAATTTCTGGGGAAATTGTGTGAAGTGTTCTTGCCTCCACCAGTAGTCTACAACTGGAGTGGGCAGAGTAACTGTTATCATTTATATAGCACATTTAATTGCAACGTTGTTGCACAGTTACATTAAACCATACATTTATAAAAACATTAGCAGGTGTTCAAAAGGCCCTGTCTATGACATCACTTGCTGCTGCAGCCTGGCACAGGTCAGAGTATTTTGGCGGTTGCCATCTTCAAGCGGTCGTATTTTATCCGATGGGGAACAATCTGCACGTTTTGGTAAATTTTTGTCTATGTAGTGTAAAAACTGTGGGAGGAGTTAGGGTGGCAAATTTGGCTATAATAAGAATAATAATATATATGTGAGATAACAATAAGTGGTCTTGCTATGCAAGAACACTTAATAATAATAAGACAGCTGCTGTAAAGGCCTGGTGAAAGCATCACAAAGGATGCTTTGGTGATGTCCATGAGTTTCAGACTTCAAGCTGTCATTGCCTGCAAAGCATTCTCGACAAAGTATAAAAATGTGTCTAGTTACATTTGAGCCCTTTTTAATTTACATTTTTTTGTATTTTTGTAGTGCAGAAGTATATAAACAGGCTTGGTGTGCCCCAGTAGCGTACCACAAGCATTGCATCATATGGAACATTTGGGATAATCAAAATAACATGCACAATTTTTGAATTATGATAGAATAACTGGGTAATTTGTACTCAACTCACAGGTGTTAGGCATAGTTAACATTCACAGTGACATAGATGAAAAAATTACCATAAGACATAAGTATATATGTGACTGCAATGTACATCAATGGTTAAGTCTGTGAGCATGGGTAATGCATTTAATGAACTTTTCATACGATATTTTTGTTCAACCCCTTGAGTTAAAGCTGAAAATCTGCACTTCAATTGCATGTCAATTATTTCTTTTTAAATCCATTGTGGTGGCATACAGAGTCAAAATCATGAAAATTGTGTGTGTCCAAATATCTCCGGGCAACAGTCCCAAATAATGCGCTTTGTCACATTTTGAATTCTTCTGCTGTTATGCCCTTAGACGCATTTTATCAGTGGCACGCTTACACTCCAGACCTGCCCACTCCTGTCCTTATTTGTATCTCCTAAAGTAGGAGAGTATGAGAGGGGAGGATAGGGGATCAAGATATAAAGGGAAAAGGAGGGCATTAATGGTGTAGACTAGAGGATCAGTCCAAACAAGGTAAGTAAGGAAAGAAATTGTCTATTTTCTGTTACCTTCTATATCCTATTAAAATTAAAAACTACCTTTCTGCATGTATTCTGCTGGTCTAGGGCCACTGAAAGCAATTTTGTCAACCCTTTAACCCCTTAAGGACCAAACTTCTGGAAAAAAAGGGAATCATGACATGTCACACATGTCATGTGTTCTTAAGGGGTTAAGCGAGATGAAAGGGTGTTGAGTGGTGCTGAAGTATTTAAAGTGTAAACTCACCCAGCTGACTGTTTTGCATTTAGCAGTTATGATGTCACTGTGCTGCCCAGTGATGTCATAGACATAGACATGAGTACAGACTCCATAAATCTATCACATAGGGATGGAAGAATATGGGACGTAGCTGGAAGGTAACAATAAGGGAATGATAGAAGATAGTTTAAATAAAAGGGATAATTGAATGTGACTTAAGTGTATAGTCTGTGGGTTGCGTATAGTGAGGCTAGAGCAGAGGGTGATGAGAATAGGGGGGAATGTGTGTACTGCCAGGTCTTCAACTTAACAGCTGTTTCTGTCCACAGGTTTAGTCCATTCATTGTGGCTTCTGTCTTTTTAGTTACAACAGGTATTGCCACAGGACGCAGAGGAGACGCAAACAAAAATAGGCAAGAGCAGGATCACATGAACAGTCTGGTAGATAGATTGGCAAAAAAGAGCATAGTTAAACATTGTCATAGCGACATCACGAGTAAGGATCCTTTAAGGATCCTCAATGCATGGATGCTTTAGCATCGGTATGAGATATAGTGGGGCTTATTTGCTAAACACAGAATTGTAGTGAATTAAAAAAACTGAGTTGTAAAGTTTAAGCAAAAATATATGATTTTTGTAACTTTTCCATCACAGTTATTGTCACATGATGGATTTTTATTGTGAAGTTTGCAGATTGGTTTTCAATTCACCACAAATCTCTGTATAGTGAAGTAAAACCAGTATCACAGATAACGCAGAGGACGAGTTAATGGGTTTACTCTGCTGGCATACTGAGCTGGTTCAAAGTACTTGTGTGTACACCTGTTCTTGTGTATATCTATTACATGTGTATATGAGCAAACATGGCATTAGCAATACTTACCCGTCAGAGTACTGTGATTGGTTGGCCTAATTAGGACTCTGTCATATTGCAGTTGCTATGGTAATGTATTGTATGCAAAAAAAAAATATATGCAAAACAATAAAATTAATGTAGTGATCGTTAGTTGTGGTAGATGTTACTATTGAGTGGTTAAGCTTGGAAACTTGTCTGTAATTTGTGACTGGCACAATCTACAGGCTGTTGCTGTTAACCCCTTAATGGCGCATTATGGAATTTTTCCATCATGGATGTCATAACCTTAAGGACCCATAACTGAATAATTGCATCATACCTCTTTCCTGCTGGAATCCCCACTTGTCACTCTATATCTGGGGCTCCGCTCTGTCAACTGGAGCCAGAATTAGTGGTCCCACACTTACTGATGAGCCGTGTGCAGTGCTCAAAATAAGCCTTTTAAATCACTGTGGCCCCTCTTCCAGGTTCAGCCATGGTGTCAGTGATGTCACCAGTTATTCCCTCCAACAGGGCTGCAGGGGATGATCAGCGCTTGGCTTTGCATGCTGATCAATGTGTGTGATCACAGCTGAATGGGGGATTTAAATCATATTGTGACAATTTATCATGATATGATTTAGCAACAAAGAGAGAAATAACCCTCCAATGCTATTAGTGTATAGTGCAGGGCACTGAGATCTCTCTGCACTGTAAGGGAATCCTCTGCTGACATCTGCAGATTCCTTCACATATTCCCTTACAGTGCAGAGCCTATCACTGCAAGCTGTGAATACCTCATTTGGCCTCTGAGAGGCTCTGCATTGTAAGGGAATCTGCTGATGTACGCAGAGGTTACCCTTACAGGACAAAGCCCCAATCTGTTGGTAATTCATTTGGCCCCGTATCTTTGCATAAACTTTTAAAAGGTATATGAGGTCTGTATCCAGCCATGTAGTATGAAAAAAGAGACATTTATTGAAGATACAAGAAACATTGTACATAGGACAATGACACCTCAGTCCCCTTCAAGGAAGGCACCTTGGGACCTCACACTGTTCTCCCAGCGTCTCGTCCACTGTTCAAATCACTGTGCAAAATCTTTTGTTGGAATCGCCATCAGCTGCATCATTGTATTTACCTGAATCGACGGTCTGAAATCTCTTCCATTTCAAAGGTGATTTTACTTTTGAGAAAATCCAGAAGTCACAGGGTGCCAAATCTTTCAAGATATTATCAGTCAGTGTTTGTGCCACACTTTTATTTGCGCTGCACTAATTGCATCATCTCCGAAAGCCTTCTGAATCATTTGAATAGTTTCCACTGAGGAATGTTCAAGCTTAACTCAAAATTTGATGCAGATTCGTTGCTCTAGTAGGTGAGTCCTTTTGAATGCGACGGCAACACAGTACTCATGCTCACTCAACCGCATCTTGCATTCTCGCTGACTAGTACAGTGAAGTCGACATTGTTCATGCATGCACATTACAGCGGGGCATACTGACCACTTACAGGGCCCTTGGGCACTGCGGGATCAAGGCAACCCCTCCTGGTGCAAGGTTTTTTAGCCCCTACAACTCTTCTCCCCCTTCTTTCTGCTGCTCTCACAACAGATATTATGTTCGCGCTGCCCAGCACATAGAATGGCTGTGTGAGAGGCACACAGTCACGACTGCCACACCTGCAAAACCCCCAAACATGGTCAGATTTACTTTGAAGAAACAAGAAACATTGTTTTAATAAACACTGTTTTAAGATGAAGTAACTCTTGCTGGCATACCTCCCCAGCAATTAAAATCATGAAATAAAGCAAATTGAATTACATGCTTCCACTGTGTTTGCTGATGAAATCATGTGGAGGCTGTATGCAGTATTGCAATGATAGATGTGGTGGGTGCAGGGGGAGCTGTGATAGGGAGGAAGGCCAAGTGTTGAAACCTTGGGGCTTGTGTAGTCACCAGCTCTAGGTATACCCTGTGCCTGTTGGTATATGGGTCTATATGGTTAAGCACTTTGTCTTGAGCCCTTTATTGTCATTTATGCAGTTATGTATATATTTGCATTTTTTTTTTGCACAGAAGTACTTTCTTGATATGCATTCATTAAAAAAATAAAACTTTGTACGTGCAATTACTTTTGGTGTGCTTGGTATTTATTCTATTCTATGATTGTTATATACACGTGTGACGAGACCAATCTCGCCACTGTGCATTGGAGGAGCCTGGTTGCCCGCCTGCTGCCTTTAGACTATGGCCCCATGTTGAAACGCTTTATTTTCCCCTGCAAAGATACGAAAGCCAGGTCATTCGGTGCTTGCCCTGTTTGAGCGGTGATACCCCAGATAGCTATGCCATGGAGCCCATTCGTATAATGAAAGACTATGGGAAAGACTTTGGCTCCATGGCAATTGAACTGTATGTGTGTGATCTGAGCGCCATTCAGTAATAATGTGTGCTCAGATCTGAGCTATCTGGGGATATGTTGAATGTTCCTGTTTTATGCACAGGCTGCACAGTTATATATTTTCTATGTATTTTATTGTCTTTTGCTGCCATGTGTCCAATGGAGTTTTGCCTCTGTCCTTGGAGATAATTGGATTACTTCCCAATTATCTCTAGGATAGAAGACTCTGTGGAACTGGTTTTGGGCAGAAAAGCCATGCTTCATTTGGTCACAAAGGACTACGATCTATCTTTTTTTTTTGACAATCTTTATTTTCCATTTCACGTTTGAAAACAACAGTATCGAAGAACAATTTATCGCTTGACAAATATATATTGTTGAGCATGTTATAAAGCTACAGTAGCGAAAAAACCTTTTAGTGCCTTAACATCTCTCATGTCTACAAAGCAATTATTTACATTCAAGGCCCTCTGGTCACCTGGGTGAGAGCCAAGTGTGGTGTTTTAGATAAAGTTTCCCTCTACTGTGGGTAGGCAGTTGTCAGTGTGCATATTTGTATGCCTATCGGTATAGCTCGGCCTATGGGAGGGTACTCTGGGTACCAGTCTAGGTGGCCAGGCGGTATGTTTTCATGCCGGTATCAACACTAGATTTGGTCTCAGTTCCCCGTGTATTCTGCTCCTGTGCTTACAATGAGTGTGTATATTAAGATGCCCCTATTGCGGGCTCGTCAGCGTCAGTCGTTTGGGGTTCGGTCTAGTGTCCAGTCTTGGAAAGGGGCGGGAGGTAGGATACACAGAGAATAGGGGTAGCTGGGTAGTTTAACTCTGTATGAGTCGGCTTACTGCGGGCCTCTGGGGGGCCATGTTTGGGTTTGCTGATCTGTTGGCTAGGTATGTTGCCCAGGGGTACCAGGTCAGTGCACATTGCTCCTGTCTACCTTGGAGGTCTGCTGTTAAGGATTCCATTGAGTGGATGTCTTCCACCCTTGTCACCCATTGCTGGAGGGTAGGCGCCCCCTTCTGTTTCCAGATTGCCTAGATAAGGGCCTTTGCTGCGTTGAGTAGTGGCAGCGTGAGGGATTTCTTATATGTCTTGACGGGTGTGGGGGTGTGGTGTAATAACATCGTTAGGGGTTCTAGGGGTAGCTCCGCTCCTGTGATTCTGTTTATCTCTACTCTGATCCTCTCCCAGTATGTGGTGATCTCGGGGCACTTCCACCAGATGTGGAAGTACGAGCCGGTGTGCATGCCGCATCTCCAGCAGGTGTCCGGGGCACTCTCGTTCATGCGATTAAGTATGTCTGGGGTTCTGTACCAGCGGGTTAAAATTTTATAATTCAGCTCCTGGTACTTAGAGCTGATAGAGCATTTATGTGTGAGGGTGTAGATCTTGTCCCAATCCTGCGCGGTAAGGGCTTCCCCCGAGTCTCTCTCCCAGTGATCCTTAAATTTGAGCACCACATCCTCACTAGTTTGGGTCTTGAGTATGGTATGTATAGAGGAGATACCCCTGTGTATGTGTGTTCGGTGTACGCACAGGTGTTCAAAGCTGGTGAGGGATCTAATCAGGTGCCCTCGACCATGTAAGGATAGGAAGTACGTCTTAACTTGGTGGTATCTGAATTGTTCGAGTAACGTCGGTGGTCTGTCGGGGCAGAGGTTTCCGAGTGGTTTAAGTCCCTGAGTGTCGAGCCATTGGTGTAGGTACATCCAGTCTGCCTGCTGGAGGCCGGCTAAGTCTTGTGGGGATAGGGCATCGGCCAGGTCCGGGTTATGTGTGATGGGTGTTAAGGGGCTGGGTAAGCTGGTGAGTTGCAGTCGATAGCGTATAGCCATCCACACTCGGAGCGTGGCGTCGATTAGTGGGTTCTCGGTGTGTAGGTCAGAGTATGTGGCGGTGTGTAACCAAAGCCTGGAGGGTATTTTTCTGTTCGTTTGTTCTAGCTCCAGGGTCACCCATTGTTTTAATGGGTGTTGTGCATGCCAGTCGGTCAGTCTGTGCAGGTGTGCGGCGCGGTAATACGTGTCTATGGAGGGCAGTCCCGTGCCCCCCATCAGTTTTGGCAGTTCCAGGGTTGATTTTTTTATTCGGGTTGGGCGGGAGTTCCAAACGAATCTGCGTATGGCGGTCGTCATGGAGCTGAAAAAGGCTCTGGGGATAGTAATTGGCACTGTTTGGAATAGGTAGAGTATCCTGGGTAACACGTTCATTTTAACCGCGTTGATACGTCCGAACCAGGAGATGTAATATGGGGCCCACTTCTTAAGGTCTGTCTGAAGTGAGTGTAGGAGTGGGTGATAGTTATGGTGGTATAATTGGGACGGGTCCTTGGTCAGCCATATGCCCAAGTATTTTAATTTGAATATCGCACCATTTGAACCTGTATTGGGTGTAAAGGTGTGTTGGGGGGCCTGTGGGGGGTGGGAGGTGGAGGGCCTCAGACTTATCCGTATTGAGTTTAAGATTAGAGAGTGCCCCAAACTCCCGGAAAGATGCTAGAAGGTTGGGCAGTGAGATCAACGGCTGTGTAAGAAAGAACAGCATGTCGTCTGCATATGCGGCTACTCGGTATTCGTGGCGACCAAGGCGGAATCCAGAGATTCCCCCATTCCGTCTGACCGCCCCCAGAAATGGTTCTAGGGAGAGGGCAAACAGGAGGGGGGAAAGCGGGCATCCCTGATGGGTGCCATTCCTGATTGTGAAAGGGGCTGACAGTGCCCCGTTAATGCGGATCCTCGCGGTGGGGCACGTGTACAATGAGAGCACCCAGGACAGCATGTTGGGGCCGAATCCCATGTGTGTGAGGGTGCTCCCCAGATACGACCAGCTCACCCGGTCAAAAGCCTTTTCGGCATCGGTGGAAAGTAGTAGAAGTTCTCTACGATGCGTCCGTGCTATGTGTAGGATGTTCAGAGCCTTAATCGTGTTGTCTCTCCCTTCCCTGCCCGGGATAAACCCTACCTGATCCGAGTGTACCAAGTGGGGGAGGTGTCTTGCAACTCTCAGGGCAATGGCTTTTGCGAATAGTTTCAGGTACGATCTATCTTTTGAACCACTGGACCAATTTGTATGATTTTGACGTATGTTTGTATTTGGAGTATGCTGATTCTGAAAATGTAAGTGAATGTGATGCAAAAACTGTATTTCTCTGCCTGTGATAATTACAATACCCATTGTGTAAGGTAATTGTATCACAGGCAGAGGGGAGGATTTTGTGTGGGACTGTCTGAGTGTATTTTGTACGTGTTTATTGGTTGTTTTCCAAAACCCTCTGGGTGGTACTAATGTGTACGAATTTGTATATAAGAACAATAAACACACAGGTCTGTCTGTTCCTGCTTGACCCTCAAAACAGAGCCTTGTCTCATTCTTGGGGGGCTTTATTGTATACTGTTCCAGTTCGACTGCTAGGAGTGTAAACCTATTCGTATGGTTTTTCCTATTCAGCTGTTTACGGCATTCATATGGTTTCCTGTTCGGCGGATTGGTGTCTTTGGTAGCTGCCTGTATACCTGGAAGGGGAATATCTCCTAAACGGCTTTTAGCCCCTTTTATGCCTGGGGGTGCCGTTACAACACGTTCTTCTCGTCTGTTTTTCATGACTGCCCTCCTCACTAAATTTACCCATATCAGCAAAGCAATCACTATAATATATGGTGCAAATAGTGTTTACATTTGTGACTTGTACATTGGTGTAGTCACTCAGAAGCCCACTAGAGGTGCTTCCTAGCCCAGTGCTGCACACTCATTCTGTGTCTCCACGCCCTGCATGGAGACCCTAAATGTTAGCCATAGAGATTAAATTCTCTTTGAGGAGACGCTGATTGGCGCAGCATGGCATTTTGCCGCGAAGCCTCAATAGTCTCCTACTGCTTTCCCATCGGTAGTTTGATTACCTCAGCCATGGAGGAGGACTGAGGTGGGTGAAGACTGGCGTGGCGTACGAAAAAAGATGAGTAAAGTCACCATTTCACTGCTCTGACAGTGGGGCCAGGGACCTATATTGCCACACTAGTATTTTGGTGCTGCCCTGACCGCGTAGAAAACTGCCGGGGCCGCATTGCAGGAACCCATCAGGTGGCCCATGCTCTTGGGGCCACCCGATGGCAATGGATTTCCTGGGGCCCAGTCAGCGCTGCGGCTCTTTAAGAGCACGACCGGGCCCCAGTGATGATGTGAGAGCTGGGAGGAAGCCAACAGAGCGCCGCGCAGGATGCGAGGAGAGAGTCAGAGGCGGAGCTCTGACTCCCATCAGCATGAGGCAGCCACTGCACCCCAGGTAAGTCACCAATTCCCCCCCCACCACAGTTTGTGTGTGTGTGGGTAATAGAGAATGTCTGTATCAGTATATTTGTGTGTGTGTATGTCTGTGTGTGTTTCTGTATGTGTGTGTGTCTGTCTGTATGTATATGTGTGTCTACATGTCTGTGTATGTATGTGTGTCTGTGTGTACATATGTGCCTCTGTGTGTGTGTCTGTATGTATGGGTCTCTGTATGAGTGTGTGTTTGTATGTATGTGTGTGTCTGCGTGTGTATCTGTTTGTCTGCAAGTGTATGGGGGCAGGGACGTGTGGGGGTAGAAGTATGGGGGGCGGGGACGTATTGGGTAAGGGGTAGATGTATGGGGGCAGTGACATATGGGGTGCGTGATAGATGTATGGGGGGGGGGCCCAGAGCAACAATTTTTGCACTGGGGCCCCGTGGTTTCTAGTCACGCCTCTGAGTCTCAGGAATAAATGTATGTATTCCTGACACTATAGTGTTCCTTTAATGTTGAATCCAGGGCTGGTTAGCTCTGCCATTCCCTTTCCCCTTTTCTCTGAGGCTTGAATCAGGAAGCCTCAGACAGCCATGCTTGGTATGTGCAGATCCCCATAAGACAGCTTGAGAAAAATTCGCAATTTTCGTTTTGAGAAACGTTGGATTCAACACTGTGAGGTTAAACCAATTGCTAACAATATAACCCCTAAAGATAAACTGACAAAAGACACCTACTAGCCACATAACACCTTCATTGTGATGAAGTTGTTTTGGTTCCCAGAGGTTCCCTTTAAAGAACACCCTGTCAACCAGGAGGGCTTCCTGATTCACTCCACCTGAAAAATCGTCAAAACCATAGTGAGAAGCATTCTGTTGAGCGATCGTCACCTCAGATTTGAAGCACATGAACCAATTTCTTCTGAAGATTAAGGGGAGACTGTTGTCACTGACAGTCTCCCTAGGGTGAAAAGGACCCGTGGTGGGAGAGAGGTATCTGCGTCTTTCTGGTGTCATATTTGAGGGGAACTGCTCCACTAAAATTTTGCTATTATACTTGAAATGGCACTGGGGTTGCATCATTAATGAAACAATGGTGACGTACCATTTATGCACCACGTGATTGGCACTAGACAATAGGATTTTTTAATCGTCTTTTTACATCCACACCACACTCTAACCAGTGCCCTGTCGAGAACTTTAGACACCCAAGAGTATGTTGATACTGTTATGGTTATTATGGTTTCTGACTTTTGGCTTGGATTCTGACTCAAGGATTTCAGTTATCCTGACCTTGGCTTGTCTCCTTATATTGTTGTTTTTCTGTTCTCCATTAAATACTGCCTGTTCTAGACTATTCTTATCCCATTTAAGAATTTTGCCATTCCTTGCATTTTGCTTAAGCCAAGCCACTTCTAAGGACAGGGTTATACATTATTATCCAGTTTATCTGGCTTGGTCCGACTCCAACTATGGGAAGCCCACTGAAATTCCATTGAATAAAGGACAGTGTCCCAAATCATTTGTACATCTTTATTCTCTTTAAAAATAAATGTAGATTCATACTAATGATCTAGGTAGACTATAAATCTTTAAAAATAAAGGTTTAATTCAACACCTGAAATAATGAAATGCCCCAGAAAGGAGAAATCACTTACAGACACCTTAGTAGATATCATGGGAGCGACTTAGATATTGTTGATGTTAGCACACATCTTAAAACTTTGTCTGTAAACCGTAAAAGCAAACGGTTACAAGCCAAAAACTATTAGCAAAACATTTACTTCTGCATCGGGACTCCTACAAGAACACCTGCCACAATTTAAAGGAGGAATAAAAAGTAAGCATGGCCATTATGTGATAATGCATATACAATCCCTTCCTAGAGGAAATATAAAGTGGAATACATTATCTGCACATTGTAAATACATGTTGAAAAAAATATTTTCTGAGTCTCCAATGCCTTCACTCTCTAAATCTAAGACTGGGAGTTGTGAACTAATACCTTCCCAACTTTTAAATCCTGTGCATTGCCGGCTGTGTTCTGTGAAGGTCTTGCTTTTCACAAATGTCCTATAACTGTAACAACTTAATGTAGTTCATTGAGGAATGTTGTATGTATAACTCAACGCTGAGAATGTGACTCTCTGGATTCTTCACTGCTGGGACCAGACTGTTGGAAAGCTAGAATAAACATGATTTGACACATGATAGGACAACTAGATCATAGTACATCAGTATTTCATTACTATCTTAACCTTAACGTTTTTTTTTTTGTTTGTTTTTTTAATTAACAGGCCCAAATTGTATACACAATTTTTGTTTTGTGAGCAATTCTTTAGTTATAATATAGCATATAAAAATATATACAATTTCATTGGACCCGTTCCCTTTGCCTCTTCACTACTGCCTTTACAAATGCACTTGTAGCTTTAAGGCCAAGGGAAACAGGCTACCTTTACCTCCTCTTGCTGGGTTGCAATCTGCCGCTGGGTAGGAAGGCTGGCTACCTCTATCTCCTCTCACTGGTTGCAGTCTGCCACTGAGGATAGAGGCTGGTACCTCTATCTTCTCTTGCTGGGTTGCAATCTTCCGCTGAGAAGGGAGGCCGGCAACTTGTACCTCCTCTTGCTGGGTTGCAATCTGCCACCTTGGAGGGAGGACCACTACCTCTTCTCCCTGGGTTGCAATGTGCCGCTGGGGAGGGTGGCCGGTTACCTTTACCTCCTTTTGCTGGGTGGCAATCTGCCACTGGGGAGGGAGGCTAACTACTACTTCTCCCTGTATTGCACACTGCTGCTAGGAAGTGAGGCTTACAACCTCTGCTCCCTGGAGCCCAATCTGCAGCTGAGGAAAGAGGCTTTCTACCTCCTCTCCATGGAGCACAATCTGACGTTGGGAGGGAGATCACCAGTATTCTCTCCCTGGATCTCATCTTGGATTTCCTTGCTCCCCATTTCCAACCTCCATTCCTTGGTGACGTGTTCCATCAGTACACCACAGACCTCTGGAATATTTGCAATCCCCAACTCCTCGATTAGTCTGCCTTGTATCTCCTAGACCGGATATTCTCTTCACCCCCCATTATTTTCATCATATTGCATGGAATCCTGCAGGGAACCAGGGCCAATGTAGACAAATCCCTGGATGGGGACATAGCCCTCAGGCTCACTGGTATTCATGCCAGGCACTGGAATGTAAGACTCCATAACGCTCCTCCAGAAACATTATGTCCTGAATCCAGCACCTAAATATCCTACGGGTGAGATGAGGCCCTAAAATGAAGGGACTCCATCTCTCTCTCTTTCTCTCTTGGTTGTACCTTTGGTGATAAGGCACTAACCCCATTTCTTTTGTTAGCTCTGCCCTTTGCTTGGGCTTGGCTGGGCATGCATATCCATCTTTCTTGGTCCATCTGTGGTCCCATCCTCCCGTGTCTGTTACATCACTTCTGTTGATGGATTGAGTTCAAAGACAGGCAAAATCTCCTCAGGAACTCCTCATCGGGCAAGGACATTGGATGGATGCTAGCACTATCCATCTCCATGAGTTCCAGAAGATGTGTAGGGGTCCCAGCAGTAGTTTGAATGATGTCCCAACAGCTAGGAAGCCATCCCACTGCCGCCACCAGATGTGACAGGGCTCCCATACTCTGATTTCCCCTGTCAGGTCAGCTTCCTAGTTACTATCAGGGACCCTGGAGCCCCTCAGACCCAGTAGCTGAAGCTTGGATGAGGTCTCTAAGGGCTCTTCCACCGGACCAGACGGCAGCTCTCTCCTTTCTGTTAGGTATTGTCACCTCTGCTTTTTCCTCTTCAACTACTGCCTTTACAAGGGCACTTATGGCTCTCAGGCCTAGCTCTGTTTTTAACACGTCCCAGAAATCAGGTACCAATGCAGCCAGCCAACAGGTCTGACGACTCTGTTACTAGGATCCCTGAACAAACCACACAGGGCACACAGTTCCAAATGGAACTAACACACAATAATTTTATTTTCACTCAGGATTAACCCCTATTCACATTACATTAAGCTTGTGTTGACACACGCAATTCAACATTTACCAAATCATTTGGGGAAACAAACAGGCACTTATAAGAACACAATAATATATTTATAAATGAGTGGGAAAGAAAATATATCCCCTACCAGGAGAAACCATAATGTGCAAATCTACCTGAATATGCAAATTACTGAGTCTTGCTCTTCAGGTAGTGCACATAACAGTTGCAACCAACAGGTGACGCTGCACATGTTGCACGATCTTCACAACCGACATATGGCACTGTACAGGCTCCACAGCCATATCCACCTAGTTGGTATTATTATTGCCATTTATATAGCGCCAACAGATTCCATAGCGCTTTACAATATTATGAGATGGGATTTAACTATAAATAGGACAATTACAAATAAACTTACAGGAACAATAGGTAGAAAGCATCAGCAGGACAGGAGAGCACACAAAACATTTAACAAATAATAATACACTCCCTCCACCTCAAATGGGCACAGGGTGACTTAAACCCAAGAGACATTCAGGGACCTACATAAAGTGTCTGTTTTATGCTGCTTTTGTTGGTGACTACCATCACAGCTGGCCTTAGGCAGGCATGTAAATATTGCCTTTTCTAAGAAAAGGCAATGTTTACACTGCTCAGCCTGCATTGACAGGCTCTGTGACCCAGAACAGCTGCATTAAAGGGACACTTCACTGCCTAAATAAAAAAATAAACAAATAAAAATTATTGTTTAGTTGATGTACCCCTAATCATTGTTCACTGTAAGATGTACATGTTCACACACATTTTTACAGTGCACATAAAAAAAAAAAGTGCACACACATGCTTTCGGTTTTGGTTATGTTTCCTTATGTTTGCCACGGGGCTCTATGAATTTTGCCCATACTGCCGCAAGATGACAAATACTATGTTGAAGCCTGGTCGAGAATCACAGAGCCGAGCATCACGCATAAGGAAGCACATTGTAGATTTGTGAGGTAGTGCAGGCAAAGTGAAGTAAAGTAGGCAGGGAAGCATGGATGTGGGCATAGTAAAATGGAAGCAATGTGGCATGTGAGTAGTGTGGCATGGATGTCGGCATAGTAAAATGGAGGCAAACTTAAATATGTGCAGGCAATGTAGCATGTGGGCGTAATAAAATGGAGGTCAGCTGAAATATACGTAGGCAATGTGGCATGTGAACATAATATAGCTTGCAATCATATTTGTAGCATATTAAAAAATAGTTCTTGTGCAAAGAGACTGTCTCAGTTATAAGCACTGTGTTTTCTGAGAAAAGTCAGTATTTACATTAAACTATAAGAACACCTCTAGCAGCTGTCACTCAGACATTTCCTATTACAGCCCTGCAATCTTTTCAGGACCAGTGTTCAGAACTGCATACTCTGGATGAAGTTTCTTGACACTCCTCATAGAGATGCAGTGAGCCAATGCATCTCTTAAAGGATATTCTGATTGACACAGAGTGGAAGTTGTGGCACTTGAGTCTATGGTGAAATTTACTTATCTTATGCCATCACTGAGGCTGCCTCAGCGCTGCTCAACAACCCCCTCCTGTGACATCATGGAGGAGGAATGGCCTCCTAGCCATTGGGGACCTGATGAGTTGCATTGAGATTAGTGGTCTTGGTGATTATAGTGTACCTTTAACCCTGCAATACAAACAAATTGTAGTTTATAAAATTAAAAATGCAATGTTCTGCATTGCAGGGTTAAAAGGAGCACTGCACCCAGTCCTCTTCATGGAGATGAAGAGGTCTGGGGAACTGTAGTGTCTCTTTAAAGTCTTGCCCTACCAAATAGAATCATATAAGCAATATTTTTTTCTGAAATTTGTCACTGTGAATGCAATCAATATCAATTCAATATTATGTAATAAGCATGTTCAGCTAAAAACATACAAAATTCACAATGCGTTTGCAGTTACAAATATAAGCACATATATGTTAAGGTATAACGTCACTATTCGCATAGTTTATATAATCAAGTCTATGAACACATTATGGGTTTGCATACTCATAACTAATAAAGAATAGCTATACCCTATATCTGGGCCATAAAATAAAATATACTATCCAGCAAATTATTTGACTGACCTAGATGTGCTGGAATGCAGTTGCTTACATGGACAGCAGGTGGCGATGCAGGATAAGACTTGAATTTCAGCAAACTAAAAATTTTAAAAAGTTCCATTCATGTAATGAACCTGCTTCCAACCAAATACTAGTATTTGTTTTGCTTGCTATAGAGAGAACAGATTTATATAGAAAGTATACCTTTGGAAATTGTTAAGAATGCATGTAATTTATGGAGTTTTTTCCACTGAAGAGTGAATTGTAGTAATTTCAAACCTGATTTTCACCATTTATTTTAAAGGAACACTTCAAGCACCATAACCACTACATTCCGCTGTAGAGGTGATGGTGCCAGGAGCACCTGGCACATCTTACAGTAAGTAGTCAATCTGTTTTAACAACTTACCTGTGTCCCACAGCTGAAACCCCTGCTTCCTGACATCTCCTGCAGGAAAATCTAAATTGTTCTATGGTTGGGGTAGGCAACCGTCAGCACTCCAGATGTTGTGGACTACATGTGGCAGCCAGAGCATTATGGGAGATATTGTAAAACAACAACTGGCGTGCTGAAGGTTACCTATCCCTGCTCTATAGAACACTGTCAGCCAATGATTGTGGCCCTGTATTGATCATGCTTTATTCTATAGAACCATATGAAAGAGATGACTGAATGAATGCCCGGAGGACCGGGTAAGTTGCCAAACTGTACTAGAACAGTTTAACAATTTACTGTGGGATAGTGCTAGGTTACTCCTGCCACCATAACTATTACATTGGGCCAAATGTGCTGAATGGTAAGTTCTCCAACTGAATTTTGTTACAGTTTCAGGATTTTACCCTGAATTTTACAGTTTGAGTTACAGTTATTGCAATAAGATGTTTAATAAACAAAGCACAATGTATTTTTGGACAAAGGAATTATTCAATTAATTAACAATATTTATGTACCATGGGGTATCAAGGTCCTGGAGAAACATATTTGCCTACTTTCCTACCAGCTATAAAACCTGTGAAAATGTAGCTTTAAATCATGATTTTAGAAAGTTGTAACCAGATGTCCCATTTAAAGAGGAATGTTATGGCAAATATATGCACTAAAGCTCCCTTGTAATTAATCCTGTATACATTTAAAAAAATAGTGCTTTAAATATAATTTTAAAACGTAAAGCGTCATTTGAGAGAAGCTGAAATATAAGCTGTAGCGTTATTTTGGTTGACCGCAATAAGGTTAGAGGGGACCTTAGAGGGTTGAAGTAAATCTGAATTCAAGATGTTGTTGGCCATAGCTCCTAGCAATATTTAGAAAGACTTTTGCTGTACCTTGTTCTGTAATGTTTAGTACTATTGTAAATTAAGCTTCCATGGTGCTTATTTGATGCAGTGCCCTTATTGCTATAATGTTTCTTGCTATGTCGAACTCAACTGTGTTTATCATATGTTCTATGTTTATTCAACGTGAAATGTAATCATGCAACCTTAAATTTAGAAACTGTTTGCATTCAGATCATTAAAGGGTGTTTAATTGCAGCTTCTGGTATGATCAGTTGTGTGAGCAGAGGCAAAGTCCTTGGATTTTGTTACAAGCATTGGCACACCTTAGCTTTCTTCATAATGTGCCTCTTGAGCTCAGAGGAATATATGGCTATGGCTGAGTTAATATTATTTATTAAGCACCAACAAATTGTGTAGCGCTGTACAATTAGTTCAATGGCAGTTCATCAATTGCAGCTACAGAACAGTTTTTTCTTAAAGTCAGCTTTAGTATTCAACTGTTGTGGACCAGTAATCTCACTATGCTCAGCCAATGTAATCAATTCACCTCAAGTACTTATTTCTTAAAATAAATGGTATTGACAAGTATCCCCACCCCAAGTAATGTGAATCTGCTCCCTTAAAGAAATACAAAGACTGTAATCCTAGGAAGCACCAATCTTTTGCTATGTTGCAAGGTGTATAACAGTAGGGATGAAACTTTAGGTGTTCTTCTCAGGGATGTGTCCGGTGTTACTCTAGATCTCCTCTTTTTCTGGAGTCACTATGATCCCCGCTACCCGTCAGATAATCAAACAGCACAAAGCCAAATGCAGGTTCAGAGATCGTCTGCAACAATAAAAAATGTCACCAGGGGGCAATAAAAGTCACATTGCAAATGGAGAGAC